TTCTAATTTTCCCTTCAATCTACAACAATTCTCTTAAGTTTTCTCTTCTTTCTCATTTCAAGAAACCAACAAATTGGTATCAGAGCTCTCTTCTTAAGGGACCTATGTGCGAGTTTGAGCAGTTATTGAGATCAAAGCTAGTTTTTCCTCAGTTGCTCCACCAGTGTTTGACGGAGACAACTACTGCATCTAAGCAGTCTGCATGGAGACATACCGGGAAGCTTGGATCTCTGGGAAGCACTGGAAGAAGACTATGACATTCCTCTTCTCCTTGAAAACAAAGAAGTCCAAGGCAAAAGCCTACCTGTTTACTGCAGTTTGCTCCACGATCTTCACTCGTATCATGTTGTTAAAAAAGGCAAAGGGGATTTGGAATTATCTCAAATCTGAGGATGAAGAAGAGATGAAAGAATTTGAGGGATGCAGGTGCTAAATTTGGTTCATGACTTTGAAATGCAAAAGATGAAGGAGACAGAAACCATAAAGAAGTACTTTGACAGACTACTCAACATAGCAAATCATGTCAAATTATTAGGTTCTTCTCTGGAAGATTCAAGGATTGTTCAGAAAATCCTTGTAATAGTGCCTGAAAGATTTGAGGCTACCATCACCACCCTAAAAAACACGAAGAATCTGTCAAAGATTGCTTTAAGTGCTTTACAAGCACAAGAGCAGAGGCGTCTAATGAGGGAAGAAGGAGTCGTCGAAGGAGCTCTACCAGTCAAGCATCAAGATGATGAAAAGAATAGGTGGCCCAGGAACAAGAAGTTTCAAGCTACACGTAGACAAAGCTCTGCACCTGAGAACAGAAGCAAAACTGAAAATAAAAGATTAGGAGTAAAAAAAGATTACCCTCCATGTCGACATTGTGGCAAGAAAGGTCATCCTCCTTTCAAATGCTGGAGAAGACCAGATGCAAAGTGCAGGAAATGCAATCAAATGGGACATGAAGCTGTCATTTGCAAGAATAAAGATCAACAACAAAGAAATGAAGCACAAGTGGCAGATCAAGAAGAAGATGACCAACTTTTCGTTGCAACTTGTTTCACGAGTTATGAAGCAAGTGAAAATTGGTTCATTGATAGTGGTTGCACTAATCATATGACAGTTGATAAGGGGTTGCTCAAGGAATTCAAGGAATTGAAGAGCACAGAGTCCAAGAAGGTTAGAATTGAGAATGGTGAATATACTGCAGTCAAAGGAAAGGGCACCATAGCCATTGCAAGTTGTTCATGAACCAAATTGATCACCGATGTTCTCTATGTACCAAATATTGATCAAAACTTGTTCAATGTTGGTCAATTAATAGAAAAGGGATTCAAAGTGATGTTTATGGAGAAGGCTTGTGTGATAGAAGATGCTACAGGCCAAAGAATGTTTGAAGTTAAGATGGCAGGGAGGAGTTTTTCACTCAATCCAATGCATGAAGAACAAATTGAAAGCACTATGAAGATTCAATCATCAATTGAGATGGCTGAGCATGTGAAGGTTGATGCAGGGCTGAGAGAATTAAAACTGGAGTCAACCTTACAGAAAACAACTGCAGAACTTTTAGAGTTGAAAGCTCGCCATTTGAGCATGGAAATAGAACTCCCAGCCATGTCGCGAATGAATGACGAATTGAAATATGAAATGGCTAAGGCAATGGCGAGCCAATTTGATTCGGAGATGAGGCTGATAAAGGCCACTACAGAAGTCACAGAACTAAAAGAAAACCACTTGGATAAGGAGACACAACTGCAAAGCATTATGGATGATAATGAACAGCTAAAATCGGAGCTCAAGAGAGATAGAGAGCATCAGGAGAATTATGTTGCAACCATATTGAATGTTGAGAGTGCAAAAGCTGCAGAACAAGAAGCACTGATGAAACTAGGTGTTCTCAAAGGGAAGGCTGAAAAGAATAACAAGAAGGCAACAAAGGTTTTGGAGCAACTTGAGGCTGCTCAGACAGTGCAATCAGAGATGGAGGCTGAGCTGAGGAGGCTTAGGGTGCAGTCAGATCAATGAAGAAAGACAGCTGAAGCAGCTGCAGCAGTTCTCACACTAGGCTTAGGGTGCAGTCAGATCACTGCTCCCTGGGAAGATGCTAAGCTCCCCTTTCTCCGACGACGGATGATGATTCTCCCAAGAGGAAGAATGACAATATGCTAAGGAAAATTTTAATGGATCTCAATCTGGAGCAGAAAGAAAGCCCTGAGATTTTTGTTGACAATCAAGCTGTCATTTACATTTCCCATAATCCTGTGTTTCATGGGAAAACTAAGCATTTCAACATCAAGTTATTTTTTCTACGAGAAGTACATAAAGAAGAATTTGTGACTCTGGTTTACTGCAACTCTGAAGATTAGTTGGTAAATTTGTTTACAAAGTCATTTCCAATCAACAAGTTTGAGTTTCTAAGGCAGAATTTTGTTGTTCGCAACTCCTAAAGCAAAAAGTGTTGGAATACATGCTTATGATTGTTTATTGAGTCTAAGTTTAGTTGAGACAAGTTTGTTTTTTAATCTTAGGAGTTAATTGCTATTTTACTTGATTTTATTTCTTGTTCACTTTCTTGGCTGATTTTTAGGTCTTTTCTTGAAA